AAAGAAATATGGTTGTGATTGTGAGAAGGATTTTCAAAATTCTTCTCCACTTAAATGTTCAAAGTGTATTTTATTTGACACCAAAAATTAATATTAAATTAATTTTAAATCAAATACAAATACTCATATCATTTTTAAACAAGTATACAAATATACTTTAAATAGTTTATGTCAAAATAATTATTTTCATAATTAAAATGACAAACCAAAATAAAATATTCAATATAATATATATTTATATATATTAATCGGCACATATATATAATATATATATATATATATAACCGAATTTATATATAATATTATATTCCAAAATATTTTATTTTACTATTTTACAAATATACAAATTACTTATTATCCCATTGTTTAATCCTACTCCTAAAATTGTCCAAAGTGTGTGACCCGTATAGGCACTTATAAAGCTGGCCACAGTATTGGCTCTGCACCAATACTATAAGCAATAAGCGGTATCTAGCAACACATTATTGCCCCCAGATTATAAGTTAAGACGTTTGCACCGTCAAAACCTTTCCACAACTCAAACTCCGTGTAACTGTATCCCTTTGTCTCAATGTCTAAACTTAATGCAACGGATTAATAAAATCCAGCTTGTATCCATTAAGTCATTCACTCATTTATCAAGTTTGACTGATAGGAACAGACGTCATAAAAGCATCTCAGCATGGCCATGCAATTTCCTCAATCATAACTTATCAGTGGGCCCCATAAGACATTAATCTCTTTTAAAAAGAGTAGTGACAAATCCTATGTACGTAATCTACGTTTCTGAATACGCGCTGCGGCATACCCAAAACAAAGCATGTATACCATCCTTATTTCATATGGCTTAGGACAATGCATCAAAGTATGCGGGTTCACATATGCAGAAAACGTAATACTTCAAGTCGAAGGATAGTTACACCCGTGGTCGCGCTAAAGATATTTAGAGCATGAGCTAAAAGTTCAAGCAACATCTTTAGGATGGGTCAGTCCGGCATCCTATTATCTCTAGATAATATCTGCCCATGTGCGGATGCGAACACACACTATGAGACTAAGTCAGACATCCAACACACACTAGTCTCACATGAATTAACGATATCCTTCTCTCGTTAATACTCGACTATGGACATTTAGACAAATATTTATTTCAAGATGTTAGTCTCATCAGCAGAAAAACACTATCTGATAAAAATCTTTAAATATAAATCTAGGAATATAATATTCGTTTACATTAGCATGAGATGTGTAAACATATTATATCTGCCTATACGTGATAGGATAACGATGAACAGTTGGCCATCAGGGCACAACTCCAACATATTCATGGTTTTTACCTTAAAGGGATTGAGTTTTAACATTTAGTATTTGGTTTTTACTTTATATAGCACAAATAAGTGTTTACAATATTTGGTTTTTTATTTGGAAAACATTGGTTTTTGACATCGATTTTTTGCCTTCGTTTTCAACTTGGTTTTCAAAAATCACCTAAAACCAGCCCAACATCAAATATGGGTTGAATATTCAATGTTTTGATGTCCAAATATGATTGTTTACATTCTGTGCAAAACAGCAATCTTGTTCCTTGAAAAGCGTTGTTTTAGCTATGTAGGCTTACTTCAATTTTGACAAGAGGGTTTTGAACAACAATGTTCATGGGTGAACTTCGATGTTCAAATTTGACCGTTAGGGGGTCTTAAAGAGAAAAATCTTTCCATTTTTGAAAGTCAACAACCCAAACATTGATGTTGCCTTCAGAACATTGATGTTCTCATGACCATTAGCCATAATAGCTATGTTCACTATAGAACATCTATGTTCAGGGCATATTTCTGTAGACTACTTTTTTTATTATTCTCATCTGGATTGATTAACAATGGTCACCACTCTTTAACCCCTATAACTAAAGACCTTTGGTATTGTTTTTAAAATAACAACACCTCCAATTCTTTATCATTACATCCATATCATTTATGCTTCAAATTTATAGCTTTTGTTGAGCAATTTGAGGGATAACTTTGTGTTATTAATAGAGCTTTCATTGTATCCCTTTATGAGGGTGTTTGCGAGTGATTAGCTTGTGGATAAAGTGATTTCCATAAAAGCTGAAAGCAAAAGCATCTCATACATGCTTCTCAGAAACGGTGTTCTATATACAAAATAGTGGTGGTGAAAAGTAGAAGCTGACATGCCAAATAGAGTAAAATCACTTCCACTCAAAGCAGAAGCTAAATTATTAAAAGCAACGCACTGCCAAACACCCTCTATATACTCTATCTATGTAACGCCCCAAAACATACCCTAAAATTTTTAATGAATAAATATTCAATTAGTCAAATTTGTTTCGATTAAAATAAATAGTTATTGGGCTTTGGGCCGAAATGAAATGTGTTTTGATATCCAATATCTTAATCTGGATAAATCTGATAGAGATAAATCCAATATGTTGAGTATTTGTGTGGTCTTGATTGAGAACATGAGTACAGACCCAAATCAAGAATAAATAAAGAAATTAGTTATGTATTGAACTTTAAAATGATTTACTGAAATAAATCATGATAATAATTAATATGAATTAAATATGAGAACCTTTTTGAATAAAAGTCAACTAAATCAATTTTGACTCTGTCAAAGTCAACCACCCAAAAATATGATGTCTGAAAAAGTATACCAAATAAACATAAAAATTATATCGTTGGATAGAGCTCGACTGTCTGATCGCAACGGTGCAAACACATTTCAATTCAGAGAAAGTTGGACCAAAAAGTGTACCCCGACTGGGACCAAATTAGTCCCAATCAGAGAAGAATAATGAGAAGTTCATCAGCATCGCAGCCCTGCGCACTAATCGATCCATCATCACCAGGATCACCAATTGTCTTCTTCTTTCTTCTCTAGCTATAAATGCTACTCTCCTCTTCCACATTTCCACACCAAAATCTTTCCTTCTTCTTTCATATGAGAGCTATGAATATGGAGAGTACATAGATGCTGTCAATTTTGTGAAAGGTCGCCGGAGATGGGAGTAATCGTTGCCCGAAGTTTCGCCGGAAAATTTCCAAAACCTTCATTTACCTTCAAGGTAAGCCCGTAGATATATCTAATGACTAGAATGTTCATATAGGTCGTTTCTACGTTCATAAATGGTCATTTGGTTGAGTTTTGTGTTTGACATGCTTGAAGAACTAAGAATCATAAACCATGAAATTGATGTTAAAATTATGAATTAATGATGCTAAAATGATCTATGAACCTTGGAGAACACTTTTATATACTTTAATTGAAGTTTGGTGAGTAAAAGTGACATTTCCGCAAGTTGGCTTGAGGTAGAAGACGATGGATAATCGATTATCAACTTGAAAATCGATTATTCATCGTTTTGCAGATTTTTGTAACAAAGCTGAGCAACAGTCGATTATCCGAATGTGATAATCGACTGTCAGCCTTGTCAGCCCTCTCTGAAGTTTGATAATCGATTATCAGAGTGTGATAATCGATTATCAGCCCATTCTGAACATCAGACAGTAGATTATCAGAAGTGACAGTAGACTGTCACCCTACACTATTGAAGAAAATGAAGCTAATAGTTAATAATTGAATTTCCTATCATATATTAATCAATTATTGTTTAGAAAACATGATTTTTGAACTATGAAATCCTATTTTTGATACCAATTAATTATGCACAATATAAATATGATTTTGTATAATAAAAATGATGTTTTTGGCATATAAAATACTATGTGATGCATGACGGTAAGTTTGGGTGTTAACACTCGAGACTAGGCCGCTGTTTGTTATCAAATGTTATGTTGATTGATGATTATGATGAATGATTATGACTTGATGAAACTACTGATTAAAATGATTATTGAAGATTAAATTATGAATTGAAATGAATATGTTGATGATTATGAAATGATTTGAATTCTAAGGATATCTAGAAGAACTCTAAGATATACCTAGGTTGACGTTGGTTTCTAAGCTTATCTAGAAGACCTCTAAGATGACTTAGAAATGGGCCTTGCGGGTATAATTATGAATATATGGTGGCCTGGGTTAAAACGTACGTACGGGATCCATAACCAAACTAGAGGAACTCATTTGGGGATGCCACCCAACCCGACAGTTAGTATCCTACTGTTCGGTTTTCTGGATTTGTACCTTAAGCGAAGGCTAGTTTAAGAGTTGGTAAATCAATCGGAATATATGTACCTTAAACTAATGACCTAGCTTAAGAGTTGGTTAGAAGTACCTTAAACTCTAATAAGTTTAAGAGTTGGATAAAAGTACATTAAAACTAGAACTAGTTTAAGAGTTGGATAAAAGTACATTAAAACTAGAATTAGTTTAAGAGTTGGATATAAGTACCTTGAACTAGAACTAGTTTAAGAGTTGGTAAACATCAAATAGATTGGCCTTAGACTAAGAATAGTTTAAGGATATTATTGAATGAGGATGTTGAATGTTGAATATCAATATTGAATGACGAATGTTGAATATTGATTATTGTATATTTGAACTGAATACTCTGTGTATGATATCAAATGATTTGATTATGAATTTGGATTCAATTTATATGGATGTTCGACGCATTAGATATGCTTACTCAGCTTCACCGCTGAGCGTGTAGTATGTTTTATTTGCTACACGCAGGTTAATAGAAAGAATGATGTGACATGATTCTGGAGGCAGACGGAGGCGATATTGTCGGAATGGATGTGATGGTTTTAAATTAAAGAACATAAATAAATTATGTTTGTAATTATGATTTGTTAAGCTTCCGCAATATTGAAAACTCCGCACTGTATATGTTATGAAAAATATTATCGTGATAAA